CCTTCCGGGGGACCGGCCCCTCGGGTCGCGGCCCTAAGGGACATGTCTCTTCGTGGGAGTTGGAGGCCTGAGCTCTCAGGTCCTGCCCAATGCCTTGACCTCTGGGGGTGTCCCCCCAGCTCAGGACAGACTCCAAGGCGCTCCCTGAGGTCAGAGCAGAGATGGGTGTCCCCTGGCTGGGATCCCCGCGCTGCCTCAAGCTCCCAAGTACTCCGGGAGGGACTTCAACGACCATCCTGCTATTCCCAGGATTTGGGGCCTCTCACCCCCTCCAGTTCCCGGGGGACCTGGGCGAGGAGGATGAGTCCTGAGATGTGTGCTGGGTGCAGTCGCTGGTGCCCCTGCCAAGCAGGGCTGAGGGTATGCAGCGGGCTGCCCAGCTTTGAGCCTCAGGAGTGCAGAGGGGCTGGTGGGGGGCTCAGATCTCAGCAGGTGTGTGTGGGGGGCCGGGACCTTTGTTCCTCCATTCGACCCCCACCCTGAACTCGCAGCAGCAACTCCAGGAGCTCCTGCCCCCCTGGGGGTAGGGGAGGCTCTGACCGCTGGGCTTCCATCCGCTGGCACTGGAGGAATGGAGGGATGGAAGGGTGTTGGTGAGGCTCTAGGAGGAGCAGGCTTTGAAAGGAGCCACGGCTGGTGTGAGGGGCATATAGGACGCCTGGGATGGGGATGGGGGAACTAGGGCCTGGGGAGGGGGCAGATGCCTGGGGAGAAGCAGCAGTAGGGCCCCAAAGAGAACAGGACCAAGAGATTAGGAAACCTGGGTTTTGCCTCCTGGGGGTCTGGGGTGTCTCACCTGGTGACTGAGGATGGTGCTGTAGAGCTGTTCTCTCTCCTCCTGAGGCCGGGGTGGGGTTGGGGCTAGGCTTGGGGGGTTCTGGGAGACATGGAAGGTGGCCCTCTGCTCCTCTAGGCGGCGGGACTGGGCCTCAGCCACCAGGTCCAGAAGGAGCTCAGTCTGCAGGGAGAGCAGGGAGGCCGAGCGGGGTCCCAGAGCTGGGAGAGGAGGGGGAGGGCTCAGAGAAGTTGGCAGGGTGGGGGACAGGGACAGGGTGAGGTGATTAGGTGGTCAGAGGTAAGGAGGTACAATGGGGAGTCCAGAGGACGTGGGGAAAGGGCCCATGATGGAGTGGACCCTGGTAATAGAATCAGGAAGGATGTGGGCACCAGGGTCAGGGAGCTCCCTGGGTGGGTGGGGGTACCTGTGTGGCGGGTCCCTGGAGGAGGGGATGGAGGAGCAGATCGCCAAGGCCGAGTGGTGGTGTTTACAGGGGGCCAGCCATGTTCATCCTGATGGGGGCCCTGATGCCGAGACATCCATTCCAGTCAAGCAGGAGCAGCGTGGGCTGGGGGGTAGGCCAGCAGCCCGTTTCCTCTCTCTGTGTCTGTTCCTACCCCAGTGTGCCCAAGTCCCGAGTCCACGGTCACTAGGTCTCTGCCTCAGGTCCTCTCACCTCACTTTCTCCCAGGGTCAGCCTCCCACAACCGGGTCCAGCTCACCTGCTCACCATCCTCTTCTTCCTGGGGTCTCTCAGCCTCCATGCCCTGGAGGGGAGAAACTGATGGGGGCGGGGTAGCTAGGATTTAGAGGAGGGCCAGAACCCCGAGTTCCTGAGGGGAGTGGGGGCTGGAAGGGGTGGGGGTGAGCCGGGGGCTG